ATAAATAAGAATTTTATCAAAGAAAAACAGATAGAATAATTAAAATTATTAAAAAAAACAGAAGACATTAAAAATGAATTAAACAAAATATGTAAACTATATAAGGTCCTCTCAATAAATTACATACTGTAAAGGGTTTTATTGAATTGTTATCGAAAATGTTCAACAATCAAAACAACCCTATGTGGCCTTTTGTCTTTGTATTTTAAATACTAGAAAACTTAAAAGGCTCGAATTAATTATTATTATTCTCTTAATACATAACATTTAAAAACAGAACGCTTAAACACTTGGTGAATTACATTTCGTAGGTACTAAAAAATTGAATAAAGGTACCTGTTCCCATTGTTCCCGAAGTCGATGCGATTAATCCACTAATCAAAAAGATGCTGAATACAGTAAATCGTGTCGCTATCGCACTGTGTGAAAGTGGGCTTAGGGGACCGCAAAAAAAATAACTTTTTAGAAGAATTGTACGAAAGTCAGTAGAAATTACCCAAATTCGTTCAACAAGGGATTCTCTAAACCAAGGGCCAGAAAGTTATTTAAAAAGAATATGTAAATATTGAAGCTTTTTATCAGCCCTATCGTAATCCATTAGCACTGTTCCTAAGCAGGATACGAAAAGGGTCTCTCAAAGCGGATTTCGCCGACGCAACGCCCAGATTCGGTCTAACTACGCCGCTGGCAATGTTCCTACTTTTTTGAAAAAAAAAAAAAATAGCAGACAAATGCTATTCCACCTATAAGAGATGCTTCCTTTTTAATATAAAGAATAAAATATCATGTTATATTTTATTGAAAATGTTTATTTTATATCAAAAGCAAAAACTGATGTATGTAATTAAATTATCAATGAAAAATATTTTATATGCAATTGCACAATCAATTCATAATTATCAATTAATCACATTATATAGTAACACATCATTTTGCTTAACTTAGTTGGACTCGCAGTTTTTCTACCAGTATTTTTTGATAATTTACATGGATATTATTGGCGAGAACCGTTTAAGAACCTATAAGGTTCCATATTTCTAGGTTCACAATTAAATATATCGAGGAACATAAAATGGACCCTATTACGAGAATAATCCCTATATAATTTTATACTTTGCGAATTCTTTAACAAATTTTCTTACATATACAGGGTGATCCAATATCAGTGGCCTATTAGAGATTCGCGAAAAAGTAATTATAAGATATCTAATCAACATTTTAAAAATATCTTTCATTTTGAAGCACATGGAAATTCTTCGTGTATTTAACCGTTAGTTTTATAGCATGATCTTATTCAAAATTCATTTTTTTTTTTAAAATAAGTTCTGAAAGATGACTTTGACAATCAAAAATGTACCAATTTTTACCGTAACTCAATTACTTGATGATCTTTGATCCCAATATTATTTTTATCAATGTTTATAAAGGGTGTTCAAAAAAAGACTTTCAAAATCAGAAACTTCACACTGCAATAACTATTGTATTTTAAAAGGAACACCTGATAGTTTTTTACAATCGGATGCAAAATTAATCTGAATTAATCGATATATTATATTTCTTAATATTCTTATAGTTAATGAGCACCCTGTATATGTGTGTATTTCAAATATAAAACAAACTATTTATTTTTAGTTACCTTATATAAGTTTGTATTTGAAATTTTTGCTAACTACGATCACTTAAAGAAACAAAAAGCAATCGTCTACGAAATGCTGATTGTCGCATTTTTATTGACGTTCTCGCCAACAATAGGTTAAAAAATTCATTATCATACTAATTGTTAAAAAATTATATACAGTATGTTACACACTTACTTATCCGTTTTCTCAGTTATTATGTGGTCTGCGCAATTATTATGTACTGACAGATCCTTGTAAAATGTTCTTTTAACTTCAATATCCTTTTACTTTTAAATTCCTTAACAATTCACTTAAGTAACTTTTTGCTTTAAAATGCAAGCCATTATAATGTTATCTATTAGGATTATTAAGTATACAAGTGGAACATGTACTGTAATAAAAATAAATAATTATGTTAATTATAACGACAGAGCTGGACCGTGGCAGTTTGAAGAAGATGTAGTGATACTAGTGAGGATAACGCTGATTCAGTTAGAAATTGATGACTTTTAGAGCTACATTACCCACTGCAATGGTAATTGTATGTATGGAACAATTGCAGTGGTTGCTTACGGCGATCGGCGATGTGTCTGTACATTATTGATTTGATTGTTTGCTCATTTTAGCCAAACTGTTAGTAAGTATTGGATTTTATTTTGATTTTGTGCTCATTTTTTAACTACACACAGAGATCCTGAAAATTTCGACCCTGTCCAGCTCTGTATGTACTAGCAAAAAGTTATTATCACCTGTAAATAATACAATTGTTAATAATATCAATCACAGAACAATTCCATGACTCAGTCGCGAAAATACGAGCAAAATAAAAGAAGTAACACGTTTGTACTGTATTTACACAAACAACATATAGTAAGGATCAAATGGTCTCATACGGATATCTCTTGTATTTGTACTCGTTTCTTTGTGGAACTGGGGGTTATTGGTACACCGTGTGCTCTTAAAATTCCCGCTTGATTTGAGCTGCATTCGTTCGTTACAGGCGGTTGATTTTTTGGTGGTGGGGGTGGTTCCGGAATATTAGGACTGTTACTAGTTGAATGCCTTTGCATCTCGGAGGAATTTGTGTCGAACTTTTTTCCGGCGCCAGGCGAAGATTTCAGATCTTGCAAGCGAACTTCGGCCACGTCTGGAGTCTTCTTCTCGTGTCTAATATCTGCACTTATGAAACCGAACTGGTAACTTTTGTTAATTGCATTTGATTTCGATAAGTCGTCTGATCTCTTGCAGGAGTCATAATGAGCTTTCTGTAATTCGTAAATTTGTGATTTAGCGTCAAAACATTCTTCGGAAGAACTGCTACAGTTTCCAGTTTCCATCAATTCTTCTTGCTTCTTTTTTTCTTTCTTTTTACTTCGATCGCGTTGGTGATATATACCGGCAAAAATTAATATGTTTAATAGTAAAAGAAAACAGCCAACCGTTATTGTAACTGTTAATGCCGTTGTATAACTTTGATAATGACTAGATGCCAATTTTTTTAAGAGATTATTGCTGGATATTTTTGTAACAGGTGTAGATAACGTTGTGTTTGGTGGACATTCGGTAGTCATGGCTTGAAGGGCGGTATCAGATTTTGGAGGAAGTGGTGTAGTAGTTGTTGTAGCTTTGGTAGAAGGAGGAAAAAGAATGGTATTGAAAATTGATGGTTTCTGCATAGATTGTGGTCTAACGAATCCTGAAACGCCAGAAAACAATATTAAATTTGTTTATATACTTACTTGCTTTATGGATTCACTTATTAAAAAGGTTAACAAACCGTCATAATATTGGTCACCCTCTTCTTGAAAATGATGGTGCCTCATTGAGGTATCGTCTCCAACTCCAGGTCTGTGTAGTTGAGGTATCAGATTTAACCACAGTGACATTTTATGGCCTCTATAGTGACTTCTTATTTCTGGCCTTCGACCTGCAAAACAAAAACACCATGTAGGAAACACCAGTACAGAAATAGTGCTTGCGATTATGCTTCACTAGTAGCAAAAATTTGCATACAAGCGACACAGTTCAATTTTTCAAATTCAAAAGGTGTTAAGTGGATTAAATTTTGATACCAATGATTCCATTATTTAATTCATTTTCTTTGGATACTTTTATTATTTGTAATCAGTTTAACTCGAATCTCAATGGAATGTGCTTCTAATTTCTTATTTTTGTTTTATTTGATAAAGGAAAATCGTTCACTTCAACAGGACATCTTTTAATTTATTTTAAATATTCATATCTATTGAGTACCTACTGAAAACTAAATCACCTTAAAATACTACTTAATTGAACAGTTTAGGAATAAGATGCTATAATTCTTATTGTAAAAGTTTCGATTTTATTAAAGTTGTCGTTTCCCCAGTATTAAAGCAGATCTCAGTATCAAAGCAGATAATCTTCTTTTAATGAAGTTAAACTCTGTACGTAACAAATAGTTCAATATTGCGAATAAGATTTCCCAATAAGAACTCCTTTAATACACACGATTATAGACTTGAGTCCACTTCATGAGAAGAAGGATTAAGATACAATTCATGGCTTTACACGATAGTTACACGAAGTTATTAGTTTTTCAGTGACCTTCTTATCTCGTTGGATAATAAAGAACAAATGATTGCAATGCCTAGGAAAGCTCAGTACAAGAAATGACAGATTTGGGGTCAATTTAAAATCATGTACATCTGCAGAAACATAATAATTCATACAAAAGTAAAGAGACATTCGCTGGTTTCAAATACTTTTATATTTCGAATGAAATAAATCCTGTTAATTTTTATCCCTCTTTAGAATTTGTATGTAAAGAGGATAGCGCAGGACCGAGTCGCTTTCAACAAAAAGAAGTTACTTTTATGCTCGTGAATGGTTAATATAGAAATTCCAAAGAGATTGTTAAGGTGTATGTTTGGAACGCGGCACTGTAAGGGTGCGAAACATAGACGGTGGGCGCGATGGAAAAGAAAAGGTTTGAAGCGTTCGAAATGTGGTGTTACAGGCAAATGATGAGGATACCGTGGATAAAGAAGGTTAGAAATTAAGAAGCATTAGAAAGAATAAGAGAACAGAGGACTGCATGGATGTCAATAAAAAATAGGCGAGACAGGTTAGTACGATTCCTTCTCAGGCATGAAGGGCTAATCAGAGACATATTAGAGACAGAAACGGGAGTTAGAAGAGGTAGAGGTAGACCTGGATTAGATTACTGCCCACAAACGGTTAAGGATCTGATCTGGGATGTTCTAGTTTTAGGGAAATGCGAAGATTAGCTCAGGATAGGAAAAAGTGAAGGTGCGTGATCAATCAGTCTTACGACTGACGACCTTATGATAATGGAAAATTATATAGTTTTGGAGTAAAAATGTAGATGTCTCATCTCTGAAGTCTGCAAGTCATAGAATTTGAAATTATTAATACTCATAAAAGGTTAAGTGTACATTTCAAGACAAATAAAATGATTTCCTTACAATATCAAAAAAGTACTTTATTTAATTTAGTGTTTTCAACAATGTTTGATAGACAATTTAGAGAAGTCTTTTGTGGTTAACCGGTTTGATGGGTACATGTACATAAATTGCACAATTTTGAAATTGTAAACAGGTTTCTGAATTATTTCATCATTTAGTTGTACGAAAAAATGCATGATGTGTTTATCGTACTCTTATAATAAGTGGACGATAACCGAGAATTGCATGTAGTCAAAAATGTTATCATCCCTTGTCCCCTTTTTGCATGCTCGTATCTAATCCCTTTGGCAACACGTTTGGAATTCACCGTGAGCTTTTGGCTGGTTTAAAGTAGTTATTTATGCGCTAGATACATGTGCAATTTTTAATATCGCTACCAGACTAGAAATTATGCATTGGGGTGCATGTGACGACGCCAAATGAATAGTTTACCGCGACGAAAGATCTACATAGCCCGCTGTGATGTGGCGCGACGCGACACGGCTGTAGGCTATGCGATACTATTAATCATGGGTAACTGGATGCGGAAAAGTGTTATTAAAAATGCCTCGCAGACTGTAATGTTATCACCTTAACTAAATTTTTTTTTAGATGCTAAACGTTAGCCAAAATGACGACGGTGAATTGCGAATAAATTTCGTATCAACAACGTGACGCTGTCGCTTCGCAGAATAAGGAGCTAATTAATTTTTATTGATTCATGCTCGCCACCACAAAGAACAAACCGAAGCCAAATTTCTCTGTAAAGCTCTCCCGAATATAAAGCCCGGATAAACAAAGAGCGAAGAACCGTTTTTGACGAAATCACTTTAATGTTCAAGCAACGGTGACGGCAACGAGCGTCGCGGCTCTTCTTGAAATATTTTCTTTCGCGAAGCTCATTATTTCGGAAAGTATGATAAATTGCACGCCGTGAATCAATAAAACAGGAGGAGAATGAGCAAAATAAATTCGAAAAGCAAAACGAAACGAACGGAGTTAATCCATCTGGCTGCAAAAGAGTAATATCAAGCTATATAAATAAATATCCACTACTCAGAGTCAAGCATCGTCGGAAAAAGTTTATCAGCTATTGTTGACCTCTCAAAGGTAATTTAACTGCATAATTTTATTTAACTTCATCTAAAAGAGATTGTTAACCAAGCAATAAGATGACTAAATAATAAAATGATTCAAATAAAAGAAAGTAACAAAAAAGGATTAAGTTCTTGGCCAATAAAAATTTGTAAAACTATCAGATCTCATCAGCACGCCATATAATAAAATTTGGTTAATTTCACGAGTATAAATATAGCAGACGAAAAATTAGAATAAGTGCCTCATTTTAGGTATCTAGGAAGTCAGGACGAAAGGAGTAGTAATGATATAAAGCAGAGGATAGCGCATGGCCGTGTCGGCTTCAATAAAAAAAGTCACTTACTAGAAATTTGAAAAAGGTTGTTAAAGGTGTTTGTTTGTTGTACGAGTGCGAAACATGGACAGTGGACGCGGCGGAAAAGAAAAGGTTAGAAGCTTTAGAAATGTGGTGTTATAGGCGAATGATGAGGATATCGTGGATAGAGAAGGCTAGAAACTAAGAAGTATTAGAAAGAATAGGAGAACAGAGGACTCTATGGAAGTCAATAAAAAATAGGCGAGATAGGTTGATAGGACACCTTCTCAGGCATGAAGGTTTAATCAGAGACATATTAGAAGCTGAAACGGGAGTTAGGTAGGGTAGAGGTAGACCTAGATTAGATTACTTTTCGCAAATAGTTAAGGATGTGGCTTGTTCTAGTTTTAGCGAAATGCGAAGATTTGCTCAGGATAGGAAAGAGTGAGTCTTAGGACTGACGACCTTATGATGATCATGTATATTCAGTTGAAAAACCACTAGAAGCCACCTTTCGGCGTTACTCGATGTAACAAAAGAAAGCACATGTGCTTTTCTAATCTGGTTAATATGCATAAATCTACCAAATTGCCCTCTCTATATGAAAATCGTACCGCTATATGCTGTGTACTGTTGACGTTTGAAGATGTCTTCAGAATTACTGTCATTTAATTTATTTGCCCTCTTAATACCACAGAAATAACATCTTAGATACAATTTAGCATAAAAGAAATATTAACTTCAATTTGATTGTTAACTGAAATATGTAATTTATTATCTTTGTTAATGTACATACTCTTCGTTTTAATTTTAATTTTTGTTCTTAATTTAAAATTATAAAATAGTTTTTTAATTTACGTTTATATATAATGAAATAGTTCCTACAGAGACAGTTCATTTTTGTGTTAAAGGATCCTCCCATAAATGAATCTTTCCCTTTGTTTGATGTACACTTTGTCACAATATGCGCATTTCAAAGGCGGAACAGAATAGAATTTTTGCTACTTATTTCGCCGTTTCGGTTAGTTCTATAAAAGATCAAACTTTTCACAATTGATTTAGGTCACATAGTAGCTAGAGAGTTGAAGTGTTGGTAAAATGTGTCTGGGTTAACGTCGTTATGATAAAACATACAGCGTCAGGCCTTCGCCAGTAATTAACTTAGCCAGTAAAAAAAAAAGTTCGTCTATACATTGTTACTTTTGTCGTCCATATTTTACACAAGCTTAATTGAACTTTGTTGGCCGCTCAAAGGCGACAATGGCCAAATTAAATGTCAGCGCGAGTGAAAAAGGTGAAAATGCTCAAAATAAAGGATAAAAGAAGAGAAAATAAAGAGTTAGAAGAGGCACTTTCGTTAATGAAAGCCGCTGACGATAATTTCATTGGAAATATCGAAAAAATTAACTAAAAAACATTATAAAATAAAATAAAATAAATTAGACTATTAACTATGACATTCAGTATGAAGCGAAGTCGTTAGTGGAATTTGTTATTGGGCTTTCGGCGTCATCGTAAATTATGCCTGAATTGAAAACTTTTAAATCATTTTTTTTAAAAAAAGTTTCAGCAAGTAGATACCCATATATTTAAATGGACCTTGTTGTAACATACGGAATCCTAAAATGTAGCATCGTGCTACAGATGGCGTTTACCCCGCCATTTGTGGTGTTTCCTAAAACGCGCTGTTAAGACAGCAGGTAAAAGTTGGTCTGTCTTCTGTCGGAGTTGTCTGCGACGCGCTGATGAGATCCAAAAAGATCGAAATCGCGATCCGCGTCTGACAGTTTCGATGGAATACAGACCACTTCGAATTATTTTATTCGATAATGGTAACGTGCCTATCACGTTGAGGTTAGCTACGCCGGGATTCGTTTCAACAAGTAGATATCCATATATTTAAATGGACCTTGTTGGAGCATACCTAATCCTAAAATGTAGCATCGTACTACAGATGGCGTTTACCGCGCCATTTGTGGTATTTTCTAAAACGTGCTGTTAAGACAGCAGGTAAGAGTTGGTCTCTGTTCTGTCGGAGCTGTCTGCGACGCGCTGATGAATTATTTTATTTTTTCTAAATTTATTATATTAAAATTCATCACCGAAGTATCTACTATAGTATGTCACCATTTGTTGGTCGATGATGGCATGTTGATAAGATCAAATGAGATCGAAATCATGATCCACACCTGCGAGCTTCTATAAGTTACTGACCAAAAGCTTCGTTCTTATCTATTTCTCTTATGTGGTCCATGTTTACACAGTTGGTGTATTTCTAAGCATTCTATTGTTGGAACCTTTGACTGTATACAAAATTGATGTAAATTTTCGTACATTTACATATCCATCTGTAGATATGGTTTACTCTATTCAAGCTGATGTATTTTTCTTTGCGAATAATTTTGTGTGATAGTAATCGCATTAATGGAAATTGAATTAGAAAACCCAATTAAATTTCTTTATGTTTACTGTATCTATGAAATTGTTTACATTTAGAAATGGAACTAGTAACTGTCTTATTTTTAAACTTCAACATGACGATCATTGCTTTCTCGTGTTTTTAGTATAGATATGACTGAACATAAAAATATAGAAATACCGACGCCATTGACGTTCTTTTGTGTTATTTCATTCGGAAAAAGTGCTTCTTGTCGGAACGCGTGAGCGTTTGTTTTCCTATGAAAATTGAAATTTTAATTCAGTTAGACATTTAACCGCAAAACAATGACGAGCACTCGTTTCTGCAAACACTGTAAACTAACAAAATGAGAGCATGAAAAATTGCAAACGACCGTAATTCGTAAATGCTTTCGTTTTTCTTTTATTAATAATTTTCAAAACACAAGGGGCTCTTAAATTTTTATTATCGTGCTAGTTAGCTTTTAAGAATGCATTCTTTTCTGTTCTAGTTGCATGTTAAATTGTAAAACATTTTATTTAGATCATCAAAGACTGGTTGGACACGTACCTCCACTCTTTCCTATCCTGAGCTAATCTTCGCATTTCCCTAAAACTAGCACATTTTATTTAGATACACATATTATAAAAAACGCGCCTGGAAAATAGTATATACTAGAATTAGACCCGGAAAAGTCTAAATTAATCGTATTCCAATAGGGTGGAAGAATGATAATGTACAAACAGAAACCGAATGAAAAGGATATATAGAGGAAGTCAAAGAATTCACTTATAATGAAGGAAGGATAATAATGATGTTTCACGTCTTAATTAATTGTATGTTAATGTAACAGTAGAAATATGGGGCATCAAGGAATAGTCAAAAGTATCTATAAAAATTACAGAAAAAAAACGTAAGACGAATCTTACAACTAGGGAGATATACAGTAGGATACCTGATAAGGGAAGAGAATTGAAGCAGGGATGAGGTTTGTGAAACACAAAGAAACAGGAACAAGCTCGGAAAGCCAATTTATTATTTGGAGGGTTTAAAAATTATTAAATTGCTGCGGTTATTGCTAGGCACTTTTCGTAACCATAAAATAAAATCTTTTGTGTAAGGGAAACAAGCGGAAAAGTGTAAATAACTTCGTTCTTCAAAGCACTAACATCAAAAATTAAGAAAATCATATAATGTTAAGGTTGTCTATCTTTTATAAAACATAATTTTGTATGAACAAAGGTGTATGTATATATTATTTGAAGTTATCAAACCAGAAGAACAAAACAATATAAGCATCTACCAAAATTCCACAAATGTAATTTCCTTTCCACTCACCTAATTCCAGATACAATTGATTAATGGTGTCGTAAGTATCCCAGAAGGGCGTGGTTTCTTCTGACTCTGCAGATTTTAGGTTCAAATGATCATTACCAGTTTTTTTCTCATTCTTGCGAACTCCATTTGGATCTCTACAATAAAAAGAAAAATTAAATAAATTTCCAACTATTTACAATGAATTTTGAAGTTATACTTCTTTAGGCGCGTTATGAAAAACTGATGAGAGTGAAATTTCAAGATGCACGCGCATCACTGTAACACAAAATTAACAGGATGAAGTTGCCCACTCAACCGAATTCATTAAGTCTACCAACGAAATAGAAATAAAACCTCTCTTAGTCGCGCATGTTGGTACGCTTGTCGCCTCTGATCACTGTTTTCATATTTATTTATAATATTTATCCACATGGTTTTAGTTTTTACAGTCACAACACGTGTTTTATTTTCATACAAGTGCGAATTATATATGTGGCAATAAAATATATTCAGTAGTGATTTAAATTGAATATTTGGATTAATATTATTTACTATTTGTGAATATTAGTGAAAAAATTGTGCTAAAATACTTTTTTAAGTGCTCCAATATAATTGAGGTTAGTTATCCCTATGTATTATTTATTGATATAAATTAAAATATCATTATTTAATATAATTAATACTAAATATTATTAAATTATCAATGTTGAATATTTATTTAATGATGCCAAAGAAGTATAACTTCTCACGCGCGTACATAAGTACACGCACCCATTTTTTTTTTGTTAAATTAAATGATTACATTAAATTGAATTCAAACTAAGGTTTTCCTACTAGTCAAATAGTATATGTATGAGTATGAAGTAAACCAATGTTTTCCAGAATAAATAATTTAGATATAAATAATTTCGCATTTATTTCTTTCTTATAATTTTATTTTCTTTCCTTTACATTTTTTCATTTACTTGACTGCAACTACCCGAAATCCTATGAGATAGCACATGGAAGTAAAAGGGGAGAAGGGAATGAAAACTCATCTGGAATGGCAAACTCAAGCTAAGATAAAATTACTGCGTGGAATTAAGAACGTCAGATTAATTTACTAAGGAAGATGGATTTCATATGTTTTGCTCCGTTTCGAAAGAGTTGAGTCAGTCCTTCGAGAAAAGCTTATTTAGGGAATTATATTTATCAAAAAGTAGTAAATCAATATTTAATCCAATCTGCAGCAGTAGGGAGCATCTTTTTTCATTTGTCGGTGTTATATGTGCGATTTAAAAGAATAATACAAAGAAAATTTATTATTGCCCGCGTTTTATTTCAATTCGCAAACAATGTTGCGGAACATGCAATAATTTAACCGTATGCTTCACAACTGGAATGGACCACGCTATATCATCTCAAATAACTTCCATTTCTCATAAGCAAAACATAACGCGTGTGGGTTGTACATATGTAATACCCGCCTAATACAGGGTGTTTGTTTTATACATAAAAATGGAAAACAGTTGTTAAAGGAGGATCTCAAAATGAAATTATAGAAAAACCGTGAGACAATATCTAATAAAATACTCAGGTTTATCATTAAAGTTAGCTTTTTAATGAGTGTCTCCAGTAAGATAAATCAATCAAAATGTTAGTATTCAAATAATGCACAAAACACTATAGGAACATGGAAAGTGGGAGCGGTGAAAAAGAAAATTTTCGAAGAGTTCGAAAAGTGGTGTTAGAGACGAATGATGAGGATACCGTGGATAGAGAAGGTTAGAAATGAAGAGGTATTAGAATGAATAGGAGAACAGAGGACTCTTTGGAAGTCAAAAAGAAATTGACGAGATAGGTTAGTAGGACACCTTCTCAGGCATGAAGGTCTAGTCAAAGCCATATTAAAGGTAGAAACAGGAGTTAGGAAAGGTAGGGGTAGAGGTAGACGTAGGTTAGATAACTGTTCGCAAATAGTTAAGGATGTGGGTTGTTCTAGTTTTAGGGAAATACGAAGATTAGCTTGGAATAAGGAAGACTGGAGGTGCGTGTCTAACCAGTCTTAGGACTGATGACCTTATGATGATGAATATACCTTGATAAAATCTTAGACCAAAAAGGCGAAACATTTATGGAGATTACATAACAAATATTGTTATTATTTTTGACTAAATAAACGGACATGTATTTGCAGTTAGTTGTGGTGGACAACCGGCTTAAGAACTTACATGTTCTTCATCTGGCAAATTACGTACATATCTGTTTCCCCAATAATACGATTCATCCTGTATTTGGAGCATTAAATTTCAAAAAAACGAAACACGGAAATATATTGTAAGATAGATTATTTGGCGAATGTGTCGACTTTATCGGGATTCTTTTTCATAGAGCAAGACGTGGCGGCAGATGCAGAGCATTAATGAAAAGTGAGGCTTGACTATTTTTATTTTTCGAATAACGATGTGCATAAGGTAGTGCGAAAGAGTTCCATCGTGCCGCGTCGTTTCCGCAGAAATAAATCAGGGCCGCTGTTTACAGGCCATGCACAGATCAACCACATCTTGCATTGGGCCTTTGCCAAACGCTGCATAATCTACGACAACAAAATGATGCTACATTAGTCTGCCATATTTCGGAAGCTTTCGCGGATTGTTCTTTGCCGTTGTGTATTCGTGAGAGGACAGACTCTAACAAAAGCTTTCCAAATCACGTGCAAAATAGATTAATGTTAAACGATGTGAATCCTTTCTAAAATTTACCATGTTCATACATAAACTACATGCAAAATTCTTCAAATCATGTAGCTCTAAACCCAAAAAAGACTGATATAGACAGAATCATTAGTGGCGAATAGTAAATAAGTTCCTGTAGGGTTTTCCAATCTGGAGACCGAAAAGGTATTCGGGACTTTGGAATCAAATTTCGAGCATCAGTGGTGATCCCGACAATCACAACTAAAAATACTATTTCTTTACATTCAATTTTTCTATCAAAATATACCCTAGAGAAAAATTTCCACTCTCTCTCCAGTCTCTCAGAGTCTTTCAGCGTCTCTAAGAGCGTCTTTCACAGTCTCTCAGTTATTGCCTAGGTGTTTTTATGGATCTCTCACAGTCTCTGTATGAGAGGCTCGAACGATAAAGTTGTTAATTCAGAGATTCGAGTCTCTCACAGAGAGACTGAATGAATAAAACTGAAAAACTGAGAGACTCGAGTCTCTCGTAGAAAGACTGGGATCTCTGAAATATGTTGAAATTAGAAAATTTTAACCATGTCTATCGAGACAACACTTACTGAGAGATTCGAGTCTGTCGTTGAGAGATTCGAGTTTCTCGTTCAGAGACTGGATACGAAATGAGGATCACTCTATGAGCGATTCGAGTCTCTTGTTCAGAGACGCAAAACAGTTTTTTTGACAGTCTCTCTCAGCGATACCAGAGAGACTCGATGAGAGACGGAGACTCGAGTCTCGCTTTCAGAGACTCTGAGAGACTGAACATTTTTATCTCGGGTAACAAGATAAACAGTCGGAACTAATTAAGATAATTAAAATCCAAAAACGTAATATGTATTAAAAGCTCCATCTGTTTATACAAGATAAAATAAAAAGCAGACAAACAAGAAGAGCATCGTAACTTACGAGAATGGTTCCAGAAATCAAGTGCAAAATATATACATATAATTTAAATTTATCTATATGAATCTTATATCTCTTGGGTAAAAATACTTGTTCACGGTTCAAGCGCCAGTGAATCCCCTAATTCTTTTAGGGATTTACCGGCATCACGGTTTCGTCGGGTGCGGTGTTGTGTTTATGACGTAATGGTATATTTGAGGTCGCTGAGAGTTTTAGGACTAATTCTGAAATCTTGGGATCATATTTTTTTAGGTAAAATCCCGAAACAATCTCTGAACCAAATACTGGGACCAGAAACCCGAGCTATATGTAACTGATGAGTTAAAAAGAGAAGTAAGTCTAAATGTTAATGTTATTTGCAAAGAAAATTTATAATTTCTTGAAAAACAGTACGAAAACTTCTAACACTGATAACTATATGAACTTTTAAATAATATAGAGCTTCATTTTTAAAATATAATTGTACATAGTTTTGCTGGTCCGGATGTAGTATTCCTTGTATTTTCAATAATTTAGTTGTAAAGATCCTATAGGTAAACGTATCATAAATGGCTACTTTTTATAATATTGTACAGTGAAGATGTAGATGGTTGTGATAAGTTAAAGAATAAAAACACGGAAACGAAAAAAAACTTAGGTACATAAAATAGAGATAAGAAAAAACAATTTGGAAAGAATACATTCCGGAAATTGGCAGAGCTTTTTCAAAACATGAAGAAATTCATAAATTAATATTAGAAAGCTAAAGCTCTTATTGGTCTTGTTTATACCTAAGTAAATTTAAACCGATACGGTTTCAATATCAAATACCACAGACATTGTTATATTAACATGATTATGGTAATAATAAAGTATCGAAGGAAAAGCATTAGCGTTACAGAGATATGGAAGTATTGTTTACACCCTTAAAGGTCGCACGTATTGTTATTTACAACATGTACAAGGCAAAATTTAAGTTAAAAATTAAAAAAAAAACAATTAAAGTCGTAACAAATTATTGGAATCCTAAGTAGAAATTAATTAATTTATAGATGATGGTAGAATGAAGATTCGGGCTATTGGGCGACTGGTGTCGATGTCGAGACTTCGAGATATATCTACGTTCACGTTGTCAACGCAGCACTACCACTGAGAATGTCAGCCGCAGTAGCNACGGAGACTCGAGTCTCGCTTTCAGAGACTCTGAGAGACTGAACATTTTTATCTCGGGTAACAAGATAAACAGTCGGAACTAATTAAGATAATTAAAATCCAAAAACGTAATATGTATTAAAAGCTCCATCTGTTTATACAAGATAAAATAAAAAGCAGACAAACAAGAAGAGCATCGTAACTTACGAGAATGGTTCCAGAAATCAAGTGCAAAATATATACATATAATTTAAATTTATCTATATGAATCTTATATCTCTTGGGTAAAAATACTTGTTCACGGTTCAAGCGCCAGTGAATCCCCTAATTCTTTTAGGGATTTACCGGCATCACGGTTTCGTCGGGTGCGGTGTTGTGTTTATGACGTAATGGTATATTTGAGGTCGCTGAGAGTTTTAGGACTAATTCTGAAATCTTGGGATCATATTTTTTTAGGTAAAATCCCGAAACAATCTCTGAACCAAATACTGGGACCAGAAACCCGAGCTATATGTAACTGATGAGTTAAAAAGAGAAGTAAGTCTAAATGTTAATGTTATTTGCAAAGAAAATTTATAATTTCTTGAAAAACAGTACGAAAACTTCTAACACTGATAACTATATGAACTTTTAAATAATATAGAGCTTCATTTTTAAAATATAATTGTACATAGTTTTGCTGGTCCGGATGTAGTATTCCTTGTATTTTCAATAATTTAGTTGTAAAGATCCTATAGGTAAACGTATCATAAATGGCTACTTTTTATAATATTGTACAGTGAAGATGTAGATGGTTGTGATAAGTTAAAGAATAAAAACACGGAAACGAAAAAAAACTTAGGTACATAAAATAGAGATAAGAAAAAACAATTTGGAAAGAATACATTCCGGAAATTGGCAGAGCTTTTTCAAAACATGAAGAAATTCATAAATTAATATTAGAAAGCTAAAGCTCTTATTGGTCTTGTTTATACCTAAGTAAATTTAAACCGATACGGTTTCAATATCAAATACCACAGACATTGTTATATTAACATGATTATGGTAATAATAAAGTATCGAAGGAAAAGCATTAGCGTTACAGAGATATGGAAGTATTGTTTACACCCTTAAAGGTCGCACGTATTGTTATTTACAACATGTACAAGGCAAAATTTAAGTTAAAAATTAAAAAAAAAACTCGTAACAAATTATTGGAATCCTAAGTAGAAATTAATTAATTTATAGATGATGGTAGAATGAAGATTCGGGCTATTGGGCGACTGGTGTCGATGTCGAGACTTCGAGATATATCTACGTTCACGTTGTCAACGCAGCACTACCACTGAGAATGTCAGCCGCAGTAGCTGACGAAAGGTCTGGACAAAATAGTTCACTTACACAACGGCCTTATAGCCCGAATCTTCGTTCTACTATGGATTCCGGCCGTGAAAGCCTAGATTATGTTTTGTGCGTGTAGGCAGTGGATTTTGAGAGGTTATTACCAATGAAGTTTCACTGCTGTACTATTTTCATTAAAAAGCTATTTATTGAAAACGAATAAACAGGACATTGCTATTAATACTTTATTTACACTATGTAAAAATCGTTGTTCCACATGTGCGAAGATGTAACATAAAAAACTGAACTCCTACAATCTGTGTTGAGACCTTTTCTTGGAAAGAGAAATCTCGAAATTATAAAGAACTGTAAATAGATTGTAAATTTAGAAAGTGCAGGAACAATTTTTAGGGGACTATTTTTTAACAGCATGCCGAGGGTGGTCGGTCATGTCATAAATTATAAGTTGTAGTTTTTTAGAAATCGTACCGTACTGTCATGAAGTGACCCTGACTAAGTAACCGAGGGTGAGGGGTGGCGACGGTACTGGATACATTTTAACTTAAGTTTTTCGACGAGACTAAAATTGAACTCCAATAAGGACAGTTGCTTTTAAAAAAAAAAAAAGGAAAAAACTTTGTACTTAGTAACCGAGGGTGAGGGGTGGCGACGGTACTGGATACATTTTAACTTAAGTTTTTCGACGAGACTAAAATTGAACTCCAATAAGGACAGTTGACTTGTAACAAAAAAAAGGAAAAAACTTTGTACTTGCACAAAAAATAAAAATTAAGTCGAACTACAATCTGTATTTTAATACAGCGTTTTAACAATCGGTTAAGACGCACCAATCTGTGTTTTTGAATATTAATTCTGAAGCTAAAAGTGGGATTGTTGACCAGATGAATGAGGTATTGAGAGGGCAGGGGTAGCACAGGCAATGCAGGCAACGCCATTCGCAAATAATCGGATTATAAAGTAAACAAAAACAAAATTCGAGCTGTAAAATATACTCAAAAGTGTATCGACAATAAATAGCATAAATATTTGAAGTACTTTCATGACGTGTAGTTTAATATCTTTAAAAATGCAAATACTAAATAGTATATTGCACCCTACTTCTTGACCTAAATACAATAGCTGTTTCATGGGTTTTTATATGACCTGAACTATTGAAAGTCGGTAAATACTTTATGAATCTTAACAGATGAGATGGTAATTTGATTATCTACTTATCTTGAAGGATATACCTATAGTATATATCCGTAATGAAGACGAGGAATGCTTATTATGTATCCCTATTTTTAACAAAAATTACTGTACAAAAAACATAATCTTATTATTATTGATGGTATTATTCTGTTATTATTCATATTATTAGAAGTAAATGGAACACTAAAGCTCTCATATTTGAGAAAATATTTTGACAATTTTTGTCAAATTTCCCACTTGAGTTGTGGTGCTCCTTGTTCATGATTTTACAAGTGAACCGACACACAATCGACCAAACGAGCGGAAGTATCAGCACTTAATTACAAAGCGGTCGGTTGTTTAGTTCTCGACAGTAGATGTCCGAACGTTAGGCAGTGTATACGAACATAGACTCCCTAATTAAAAATGAAATAAGATGTGAAGAGCATCAGAAGTACGAAAACGAAGTTGAACAAGCTTTAATTGCAGAAATGTCATAAACAGAAAGATACTTACCCAACTCTGGCGAAGTTGCTTATGTATCCAATTAGTAGTCGTGATACGTAGGTGTCGACTTGGGAGTAATTAGAAGGAAAGTATGCGCCACCTCCAACAAGAGGTAAACCCAGCACATACGGTATATCTTCACCCCTTACGCTACTCACTTTCTGCAACAACAATTGCACTTTAATTACTGAATCACATAATGTGTAAATGAAAGTTAAATTACACAACATTATGGTGTGCCCTAACTAATACTTGGGTAAACTAAATTGATGTACAGGTACAAGCAATAATAATCATTTCACAAGGAAGACGATTACTGGACAACATTTTAACTTCTATTAGCAGTAAATAAATCAATAATGAATAAATTTTATGACATATAAAACTCTAAAACCATAGAGAAATAAAAGTTTTCTTTTTAGTTCATGTAAGTAGGTATAGCTTTTGAAAAATAGGTTTGTATTTGCTTATTGAACAACACATCTACTAAATTCAATAAAAAAATGTGAAAATTCACTTTAAATTTCCTCTTCTTTAGGTATTTCACAGATATTTGCGATTAATTTGACTTAAAATTAGGCACGCTAAAAAAACAAAAATCGTCATTGTTTTTAACAATAAAAACCACAGTGCTCATGTATTAACCCTCATCTCGCATATGTCTCATAGCCTTTTACCAAACCTATCCTCCCTTACAGAATCATTTTTTTTTTGTAAAAATAAACACTAGCTGAATGTTTCTTTGTTGACTTACTCTGTTTAAAAACGAAATTTATTTTTGTTTATAATTTACTTTGAGGTTTTACTTTTTGTACTATCTAGTCAAAAAATATTTTATTTTTTTTAAAGTGACGGGTGATGCAATAAAACTGCCACCTAGTAATCGCCCTTCCACCCTTAGTTGGAATTGCCTAATATGGCACCACTCAAACGAAATGCGATTTGTATACCGTACCCATAACGCTCAAGATAGGTAGAAAGACATACTCAATGAAACTTATTGTCTGTTAACATTATTATTAAATAAGATTCGCACCGCTTTTTGTGACTGTCGATATCAGTCATTCAACCATAAAAGCTAATAAATCTCTTGAAACTTTTACTACCAAAGCCGTCAATTGAAAAAAGCCCGACTATATGTCTGAAACTATTAACCCTGGACGCACAACACTGCTGAACGTTGAGTGAAAGGAGTATTTGTCGCCCGCATAGTCTAAATGCACCTTTAAGGGCATATAAAATTTCAAATAATAGAAATTATCATAGACATTCATTGTTATTCTATCCGTGTGTATAGATCACAATGTGAATCTCATTTATAATCGTAGCACGTAATTCGTATTCAATTATTATTTGAAAACTAGCTGACCCGGCAGACTTCGTACTGCCTCAATCGATAAATAAAAGACCTAAACTTTTGTATAAAATAAACTTGGTTATCAAATGTCAAATATTATGGTTGCGTTCAGAAATTTAATTTGTGACAGAACTTAAGATTTATCAATCTACATAAAAATAATCTGAAAGATAGTTAACAACTTTCGTATTTATTCACCTTTTAAACCTTCCCTGGACTTCCACAAATAATTCGAGACCAAAATTAGCCAAATTGGTCCAACCGTTCTCGAGTTTTAGCGAGACTAACGAACAGATATATAGATATTCAATTCAAAAATATCATCAAATTAAAAAACGGTTAGTAAAATAGCAGCGACTGAACTCTTGGTTGCCAAGTGTTCAGTCGGGAGAGGGTAGTTAAGTAGTTAAAAACACGTTTAGCTGAGTTTTAAGCAGCTAAGGCACAGAAAGCGGGATTTGCATTAATCTTCTCAACATCCTCGATTACGATCGCAATATTGCACTTTTAATGAAAGTCGATTCTCATTCTGGTAGACTCGTTCTCAAGCTGTTACCATTAATACGGTCAGTTGGGAGCGCGTTTGTGCAAATACTTTGCCTGCATAATATCAGTTTACTTCAGTTTACAGCGCAATTACATTCGCTTATATTAAACGTTTACCATTACGTGACTAGAGGTTTACACCGATATTACTTGGAGGGTGTACGCATGTTGGTTCTCTAATAGCCCTAGATTAAAGGAAAAAGAATACCATGCCTAAATATCGTACCGCATACAAAATGGGAAAAGGAACTGCGCCATTTCACTTAATGTTTAATTGAATGAAATGATAACTGAAACAGTTCCGCAAAAATATTTAAATTTTCTAAATAATACCAATAGTACGTACCTACTCTAATAAATGAGCAAATTTCATATTATTTTATTGTACCTGATGTAACAAATTTGGATGTATATGTTACCGGAAATGTATGAAATCCGCCATTGTATACAATTCCCAGGAAATGTATATAATTCCTAAAATCGCCAGGAAATGTGTGAAATAAATTATATTAAACACACTTCCTAGGAAATCTATACATTTCCTAAATAGCAATCGGAAATATATTACAGGTAATACTAAATAGGCAATAATACGGCAGGCTCTTTGGAGATGTACCTATATCCATTGGTGGCGTCATTGTTTGGTTAGGGAGATTTATAACAGACTGGAGCTTTTGTAATGCCTCTGCTGGGCTGATATGTTAGATGTTAGAATAATGAGACGAGGTTATCTTTGTTTCAGCAAATACGATGACCTTGAATTTTTAGTATTTTGCAGAGGTGGTAATGGTGATCATTTTCATATGAATGAAGAATACTTTTCCAAGACATTATTCCAGATTTTCTATTTCGGAAAAATTAACAGACATGGTACATGGCAATGGAATAGAAAGAGTCATTTTGCATCACTCACTGATATACCAAAACATAAGGGTAGTGACCTTGCCGAAAGCCCCAACTGCTCCGGCAATGATGACCAGGATTATTTGGTGTAATTGCGTTAGGAAGCATCGCTACCTGCTGAGATCGAGTTCCTTACATTAACACGGGCAATGAAGAAATGCACTGCCGGTTATTTCAAACGGCGACGATAACGCTAAAAGAAATGAACGAACATCCTGGTAGGTGTGTTATTATAATAATAGTACGGATGCAAGGAATTTTTTTAAATCCTACACACCCTATCACTCGTAAACTCTGCTTATCGTGTAATAATTCGGATACTCAAACCGGGATTATCTTCTATTAATCACATAACGATTTCGTCAGTACCGACCTGTCATTTTTACTGGCCATGACCTCTCGGTGTAGTGTCACACATCCTGTATGATGCCGTCAATCCATTCTCATTGCACCGTCCATATATAAGCACCACGTGCGAATATATTGTTTTTTGCTTGATATTTTCAAAATAAACTTATTCTTGTATTTTGTGTTTAATTTCATTAATTGCCGGCTCGTCTATTGGGACACTTTTGTGTAAAGTTTTCACACCCCTACGTAATGGCTCTATCACAAGGTGCTCTCTGCAGTCTACAGCTGTTTTGTTCGTAATACGGATTGTATCAGTTATTTTCTCGGTTAATAACCTTTCCTTGAAATGAAGTGATTATTAAAGGATTGAATTCCTTAGCTAACTTATTTGCTTCCGATCGTCAGAATCTTGTCGTTTAATCGAAATTTTTAACTGAAAATCACCAATATTTTGACATGTCAACTATCAAGAGAGTGTGAATGTTAATTGTTAATATTTGGGGAAGATGATACTCACTGTGACTAAACGTCTATCGAGGAAATCGTTAGGTTAGGTTACGGTAGGAAAAAGCTTTCCTGATATGCATAAAAAGCGTCATGTACCATCGGGATCAGCAAATTTAATTGTAAGCCTAAAAGGCATGCATGCCAACAAAATTTATGTTATTTTATAACACTAAATCCTTAAATTCTACATAAAACGCACTTGAACGTCGAAGATGTCACCCTCAGTTAGATCTAATGTATTTGTTCAATAATTTTTCTGGACACTTTTTTTAAATTAAAATGTTCGTAGATATACTTTTTGCCACGGGAACGGTCCAGACGGCTCTTTTTTACATCAAAGTTGGTACGGTAATCACGTATAACTAACAACGAAATTTACGATTATTGCCAAACTTTAAGCGTTAACTTCATATTTAGGATGTAATAAAAAGTTGCGACAGAATAAATTTTGGCATTTTTACATGTAGGTTGAACTTGCCAACCCGTACGTGGTCGTAACAGAAATAGTTTTAATTTTGAATTCGATCCGTTCTATTGCCTACATACTAAGTAGGCACCATATATCTCCGATGATGAAATGAACCTTTTCACGTAACTACCATTCATATACTTAGGTACTCTTGGAAAATATACGGGAATTACGTGTAACTGCCTGATATATTATAAAAAATGACACATATTATCACTAATACTGTTCATAATCAAAATTCAACCAATTGTTCCACCTCATTATATTTCGATAAAAAAAAAAATGAATCGATCGGGGATCGAATTCGGACTGTGTTAAAATACAATTAACCGAAAAAAAAAAACTTTTGGGTGTTTCATTCCCACCAGCCAGTAATGCTGGTGGGCGGGCAGTCCCTCCGGACTACGCCGAAAGGTAGGGCGGAAGGCCCTCTTCAGCCTGCTTTCAGGAATCGTGGGAATGGGTGGGTGGTGGTTCGGGTGAGAAAGATGAGACGGACAAAATGAAGATAGAAGAGTAAACCACAGAAAAACTTGGACCAAGGCAGACGGACCCGGAATCGAACCGGTGTCCTCCCGAATGCTAAGCAATGGTCTAAACCTTTAGGTCATACCGCTCGGTCACAATTAGCCGAAAATCGGCGACCACGTACATTAAAAAAATAACAATAATTTAATCACGTCAATTTTCATCTAAAAACCAATAAATATCTTTCCTATTCCTATCTAATAAATTAGTTTATTTTAGGTACTTCTGATCGACATATAGTGGACGGCTTTGAACATCACCTCCCATCAGCTATTCCTGATGTATGTATTTTATAATCAATAATAAATGCACTTAAAGAAAGACAAAATTACTTCTGACATTCAGGGTTTTCACTTAAAACGTTTTAGTAAAAATAAGAAAACGAATAATCTTTCATTTAATTGTTATACTGTTCTGGCATTACGTATGAAATGTCGACGAAGGATGTCTGTGAAGTCCTTGTTTCAGCCTTTTTTTTTATCTATGTAGTGACCAATAAA